TACGCTCAAGGTAGTTACCAAAGAGGTTTGGGTGGTAATTCTATCCTTAACATAAGCCAGCCATCTGTAAGTCGATCTATTAGWAGTGTAACAAATGCTATTAACCAGCGTCTTTTGAGACAGTGGGTAAAATTCCCAATGACAGCTGTTCAATGACAAAAAGGTAGAGAAAAATTTGAATCTGCACCCCAGCCTTTTGAAGGTACTTTAGGAGCAATAGATTGTACCCATATTAATATTCTCGCTCCAATTGTCCATGAAGAGGCATACGTTAATCACCATGGCAATGACGTGGAATGGAATTTCATTATAACAATGGAGAACGTCGTATATGGTTAATTGGTAAGTCATGTTATTAGTATTTAAATTATATACCAATTTTAAATTTCCAAGTGATCATTGCTTTCCCATGTAATTATTTTGCATAGGTGATGCTGGATACCCATTGATATAACAAACTAATAATCGCTCCCTAKTGGACAAAAATATAACTATCCGATGTGGGACATAATAAAAATTAAAAATAAACGGTCAGCCGCTCACTGCTCAGTCGATGTCTTAAGTATTTAATACATAATAATTAATAAGTACTAATAACTCAGTCAAACTGATTTTTTATTTAGTAAATGATAAATTTAGTGTATAAGATTTTAACTAAAAAAGTTCAAAGTATAAGTATATTTATTTTAAATTTGTAATTCACAAATTTTATGTAATAATTTTTCAAAATAAACAATTTTTAAAACTTGTATTAATGTTTTGTAATARTTAAAATCAAATTCAACATTTAAGGTCGATTCACACTATACGGAACGTCAACGTCACGTCAAAATATGTTGCTATGTATTTATATCGCAATGTTCACATACACCGTCATCAATACGTAACGTCACCGTCACGGAACGGCAACGTTTATCGAAAACTATTTTTTGACGTGACGCAACCGGTCCGTTCTTGTCCGTTCGGATAGTATGAATGTGACAACTGAACTTTTCCGTCAAATTTAAGTGAATTTAAATAATTATATTTTAGTTATTTTTTCATTATTTTATCATGGATGATGAAAATTTAATTGAAAAAGTTCGTCTATATGATGAACTTTACAATATGGCACACAAAAAGTATAGTGATAATCATCATAAAGATATAATATGGACGAAAATAGGAAAAGAATTGAACACAACAGGTACGTGTAACTTTATTATTATACTTTATTATATACTTAATTTAAATGAATACTTATTTTATTTACTGCATTATATTATATTTAGACTAATTATAATGATGATATATATATATGTTTATATAATATTATAATAAATAATGATAATAAGTAATAATATTATTACTAATTTATAATATTATATTATTTTAATATAATTATTATACGAATTTGTCTTTTTGCCATGCCAATGATCCAATATCACTATTAAAAAAAGTTTTGTATGTTTCACGTACATAAAATGCAGAATTGTTTGCATTTCCTCCTTGCCTTGGTAGATTTGACCAGTTAAGTTCTCCTTCGATAGGGTCGAAATGCTGTGCCATCAGTATATTGTCTTTGATATAGTTATGTAAAATGCATGTCGTTAATATTACTTTATCTACGTTCTCAGGGAATAAATTTATGCTTCTAAAATAAATTCTAAATTTTTGTACCAAATTTCCAAAAGCATTTTCCGATACACGACGAGCTYGAGACAATCTATAATTGAATATTTGTTTTTCGATGTCCCCATTTATCGTTGGGCCTGGATATGGTCTAAGCAAATAAGRTTTTAAGGGAAATGCCAAATCTCCAACAATTACAAAAGGCGCAGGAGATTGAGTTCCAGGAAGGTTTCTATCTTTTGGTACGTTTAATTTATTCTTCTCAAGGGCTTTTCCAAAACTAGAGTTCGCGAAAATTCCACCGTCACTATTCTTTCCATAAGCACCTACATCGACGGCAATGAATTTATAATTCRCATCCACTAGCGCCATCAACACAATTGAAAATGTCCGTTTATAATTGTAAAACTGTGAGCCACTATTAGGAGGAGCGAAAATTTCCACACGTTTGCCGTCAAGCGCTCCCAAACAATTTGGAAAGTTCCATATATTCCAGAAATCATTCCCAATTTTTTCCCAGTCTTCTTCTTTTGGTAGTGGCATTACTTCAACTAATAACTTATCTATTATGGCTACACAGACATCTTTAATTATATTATGAACTGTAGAATGCCCCAAGCGAAAACTGAATGCAATGGTTTGAAATGAGTCACCAGTTGCTAAGAATCTAAAAG